CTCGTTTATCCCCAAGACAGATCGATCATTTATACCCCCCCAAACGCAGTGTGACACCTACAGTATGTTGGCAGCAGAGCTCCACAAAATACAAGTCATTCATTCTGAAATACCCATAACATTTCAGTTTGATTAAAGTAAACAGCTTCACATAATAACTATCGTAGGAAAGCTGCAGTAAGGCCAGGCTCCATCCAGTCAACCGCCAGCAAGAAGCTCAGTTTTTCCATTTGATGAGATGAAGGGTTTATTTGGAATGCAGAGCCACCTTATCTCTGTTAAAATGCATTCAGATACATTTGACTTTGAGGAATAGGATGCAGTCTGGGACAAGAAACCGAGTGAGGTCATGGGTAATGTTTCCGATATATCAAGCCTGAGTCCAGGATCTCAGTTCTGTCATCTGAAAGCACTTGCCCTGACATCAGTGACTGTAATCTCCTGTGTGTTCAGAGCTCAGTGGAGTAGGGGAAACTGAACATGTGGTAAAACGGTAGAAAACAGAGACTACTCTGTTCCTGCTTCAAGAGATATTCTGCTCTAACAAGAAAGAGTTCTGCTCTGCATGGAGAAGAGGGAACTAGCGATTACAACCTTGAAAGGTTTGAAGTGTACCCAAAACAAGTATTGGTGGGTTTACTATCTGAGGGGAGGTGTGGAGTGGTAGGTGTGGACAGGTCATAACCGACCAAGACCCTGGATCAACAGGGGCAAAAGTCAATGGGGGCTTTAAAAAAGTTTTTTTTAAATGTGTTCTTCGCTCTTTTTCCAGCGGCCCCATTTTAAAACAATAATCCTGAAGCTAAAGCTGTACGGCCAGCCTGAGTGCCAGTGTTCCAGTTAAGTGGCACTGCTACATCAGTCAGGACTGTCTGGCCATTGGCTCAGCTTCTTCTGAAACAAATAACAACTTTAACAATTTGGAGCAACAACCTCAAAATTTAAAGCATTCACATTTCCTCTCTAACTGACCAATATGGAAATCCCAGTATTCTGAAACTAAGTAGATAGCAAAAGCTGGAGGCCCACAGGCAAATGAAATGATTAAATAGAGTCCATTATATGTAACTACACACATATTAAGAGCAAGACCTATCTCTGGATCTGCAGATAGTGCTTATTAAGATATATCATATGTCATAGAGCAAAACAAATGTTGTACATTCCGCTTCATTTGTGTAGATGCAGCTTTTTTAGCAGCACCGAGGGCCCAGAAACTGCAAAAAGATGCAGTCTGGGTTAAGAGTATCTGGGGAGTCAAACCACACGACCACAACACAATCCCTCCTCACACAGCACAGGCCCTCTGGTTTGGAGCTTTAGGACTTTGGGAGTTATGAGGTGGTGATTCCAAGCTTAGGAAGTGCAGATGTTGTGATGTCTCTGTTAGAGGCTACAGTAAGAAAGAAAAAGCAATCTGGAGACTATCTGTGGCTCTGGGCATTTGTAATAATTGTTCTCACCAGTTTCTGGAAACCTACAAACTACATTATCAACCAATTCATTTACAAAAATGGCAATAATGAAATGAGCCCGAATAGACAGCCCCAGTGTCAATGAAAATGCTCCAGCAGACTGAAGCTTTGTTCACAAGATCTGAGGTGTGAAAAAAGACATAATGAAGCTTTTTGTTCAAGAGGTAAAAGTGAGACAGTGACATTTTCTGAAAATCTGTTATGAAAAATGACACCATGAATCCTCCCAACTGTTCGAACCATATGCTGTGTACAACAGAATTTCTCAGTGCATATTACCACTTTTTGTTCTTACCAGTGGGGTGCATGTATAAATATCCCCTGCCCACCTTACTTATGGGTTTTTGTTCTCACACATGCAAACCTGCACACACACGTACACGCAGCATAAAGGGGCTGTGTGGCGCGGTATTCTTGTGGCCATGGAGCTGCTGCTCTGGGGCTCTAAACATTGCTGGGGATGTGTCAGCACATGGGCCGGGTGGAGGAGCCAGGTCTTCAGAGGGATCCTCCGCTTTATCACTCAGGCCAGCTGGCAGCTGAGTGCACAGTTGTCCGGGGACACAGTCTGTCTGCAGCAGCGAGGGGCAGCTCAGTTATAGAGCCCCCGCTGCCATGCATAAAGAACAGGTGCATCAGGGGATGCCAGAGGAGGGGAATGAGGGAGAAATGACAGGTAGAGTGGAGGAAATGTCATTTTTGAGCCGTCAGGAATATATTTTTCCTGCCTCTCTTCTTCTTTCCAACTATATCATCACACTCTTTTTTTGATTTGCTCCCCTGCTGCACCGTGCAGTTTACGTCACATTTTGCTATTCACCACCCCCTCCACCCCAACCTCACCTCCCTCCATTGTTTCACCAGCTTTTAATAAACTAAAGGGCAGATTCCTGACTGGAGGGAGGTGGGGGGCACAGACCCACAGACCTGTTCTCCAACCACATGCGCACACACACACACACACAGTTGGCATGCAGAGTGCCAAGCTCTGTGTACTGTGTACTGACGCCAGCTCCTGAAACACACACGCAAACTTACTGTTCCTTTCTCTGTCACACACACACTCACCCCCTCGTACCCTCCCCTTGCGCCACGCTCCTAAAAGCTAAGCTCCTCACTAAATATATCCTCCCCCCAGTAAAGATAAGACAAACAGTGTAGATTTGAGAGCAGTGTACAGACAAAGACAGGCAGCCATGTGAGCTGGAGCTAAGCTTGTGTTAGCCTTACAGTTCAGGCTTCTCAGAAACAGCGAAGAGACAGAGAGGGAAAGCAAAGGACTGTCAGATGTCTGTTTCTTTCTGGCTATTGTTCAGTGTATCATAGCCCGGTCAAAGCGTGCTGTTAAAGTTGCTGTGACAAAGCCAGAATTCCTTGTCTTGCTGGGTCAACACACATACACCTCCTCTGCTCTCTCAGTCCCTGTCAGTGAAAGGAAAAAACACTGGGAATGTAGCCAGCTGCAGGCAAAAAGCATTGCATGAAACTAGATCAAGCCTCCATTCAGCTCCAAACCTAAGGCGCTCTTGAAAACAGCAAGTGAAGGAGTCATAGGCGTGTTTGTTTTATCGTGCTTGACCAGGTTCCTTCGGGCAGCAGAGATCTGTCACACTTGTGTGGCAGGGCGGCATTAAGGATCTTCTCTATGGCCTGCGGTTCGTGCAATACATCCATTTGTCAGAAGCAATGAGACATTGTGAACGGCCTATCGCTGCTTCAACACTGTCCAAATAAATACAGTCACAATAGGCCCCTGTTTGCATGCATGTGTGAGAATATGAAACATGAGAGCTCCCACACAAAACCAACCGTGCACAGCTGTGCCAGAGCATTGCTGTCTATCTGCACCTGGCTGAATGTGCCGTGTTTCAAACACACCTCCTTCTCCTCTCCCTCACCTTTCTCTTCTCGACACAGTTCAAAATTGATGTTTAGTTCTGGATGAGGAAGCAGACTCAATGAAAACACACTGATATTTGCTCACTGAACAAACTGTTTCTCCTCTAGTGTCACTAGAAGTGGAGAGGGATGTCTGGAGGGATGCTTGCATCACACAGTCTCATTTTCTTTTTCCTCTCTGTCACTCTCACCTCCTCCAGCCCTCTCTTTCTCCCCCTCTCACACATCTCAGTTTCATTCTGTTTCTCCTATTTATTGTATCCTTCTTTGGGATTGCTGAAGGGTTCACTGTTTCTCTCTTTGTCTCAGATGTTTTTTCTCCTGCGTAGGCTTCTTCTGCTCTGATCTCATTTTGCCCTCATCTTTTGTAGTAATTTCTTTTTTCATTTAAACACCTTCTGCCTCGCTCTCTCACATGCACGCTTCTCCTTCTCAGTTAGATGGAAGTGGTAGCTTGTCTCCTCCTCCTACCTACCACAGAGTCTATCATATCTGTCATCATTTCCTTCTAGCATAAGCCAGCAGCCTCAAGGTTCAGTGAGTCAATTCCAAGTCAAGTCACTCACGGCCATAAACTCACACACCATAGATACCCAAAGTTATTCACACCACTATTAACCTCATTCTCCAACACACACACTCCCTACATGCTCTGAGAGCTCCGCTATCCATCCAGCTTCGCTGTCAGTTGATTAGCAAATCAACCAGCGCCAACACAAACATGTTTCCTCCGATTACACATCATGTCACATTGCGTCCTAATCATAACCACTTGCAGTTTCTGGACTTATGCAGAGCAGAACATACCTTCAACAAAAGAGGAATGTGCACCTGAGCTTAGTGATGTGCACAAGAGAAATAGTGAGCAGAAGTTTAACTCTGTGCATATGGCTATGTATCATGCATCACTTTTTCTCACACCTGTAAAGGACTTACAGCGTCTTTAAAGACCATGTTTTGATAGACTGTATCTTCAGCAGTTAGGCACCCAGGCTGGTGGTCTTACCTTCAGACCCGCCAGCAGAAAGACAGCAGAGGTGTCCAGAGTGAGGCTGAGATCCTGCCTGCAGCACCAGCTGGCTCCTCTCTCCTCCTGTTTCTACCTCTCTCACATACACTGATTGTCTGAGCACAATTCTCTCCTCCCTCTGTCTCACTGTCTCTCTCGCCACCTCTCTCTCTCTCCTCTGTGTCCCACAGTCACACTCACTCACATTTTCTTGAACAGGGAAATCACCAGAAAGAGGGAGCAGCCTGGATGCTCTGCCTGTGTGGACCGTCGTCACATGTGGATCGTGACATAGCAATCGTATATCATACGTCCTCTCTCTCTCACACAGACACACCAGCCGAGGCACCGACATGCTCCACAGTGGCAAATGGGAATTCCAGCCCTGGACAGCTCTGCTGGTCCCATCAGACCAAAAGAGCTGACCAAAAGCTGCAGCCTGTTTTACGAGGTCAGGGTTATAAAACTGTTAGTAGATTTAGTTTATTTAAAAACAACTGGTCCCTGTGGTCGTCCTCTTCACACACTTTCCCCTCCCATGGCATGAGGGCAGGGGGTGTAGTGGTGGGGTGGCTGAGGGGGAGTAAGGTTGGAAGGTTAAAAGTTAAATAACTCACCTTAGTGACGTTCCCCTGATGGGAACCTCGGTGTTGTATGTACAGTTGGGACTGTGATTCTGGGATATGCTGCACCTGCAGCCACAGTCACATATCTGTTAACCTGTCATCAAGAAAAGGAAAAAAAAACAAACAGCAGAAAGCATGTTCAACATCACTTGTCATAAAAGTTTTGCCAGTGTTCAAAATTATAACCAAACGAGAAGCTAACACTGTATATGAATTTAGATTTAAGTGTATTAATCACTCCATTTTTAAAAATATACAGGACCTAGTGGGTCAGTGGTTATTCCGAGTCATCTGGTGGATATTTTATTTTGGATTATTTGTCTTCATCTGTAAACAATTATATGACTGTGCAGTGCCTGTATGTTTGGGAATGATGAAAACAGCAGTAGAGCTCAGCATAGAGGAGCTCCAAACTCTAACAACCTCATCCATCATTCTCACATAACTCAGCATGAAGACAGACGTCCCGAAGATATCACAGGTACAAACTATGATGAATGGAACACTAATAATGAGGGCGGCATCAGGGTTACCCTGAGACAGGACCTGTCCCAGGCTTTGCACACAACCACTGCCAGATTATTGCATTATCCATCAGTTGCTTTTGTCCTCTCTTATCTCTGGACTGTTTGAAGTTTTGGTGGTTTATTAAACAGTTTAGTTTCCAAAGTGAGCAGCATGATGTCAAAAACTGACACTGAAAGCAGACGTATAATATTCTAATTGAGGTATGTAAAAGCGCAAAGTCACATCATCTAGTGCCTAAGTACAGAGGCTGTGATTAAATAAGGGTAGTCAAACAGTGTGGGAATAACTGTGTGTGCTTTGCCAGAACAGGTGAAAAAACCAACATGAGCTGTGTGAGGCTGACAGCATATGTTCAGATACTCATACAAACACATCCTGGTATGCTGAGTCAAAACTCTCGGGGGAACTAAGGGGAGCAAGCTGCACTGCACTAAGGAGGGCTTAGTGGGTCAAAAGTTTAAGAAGCACAATTACCTGAAAGACCTTGGATGATCCCCAAATTTCTCACCTTCTGTTCCCTCACACATGCATACACACACTTTCGACAGAGTCGATTTACAGCCAGCAGCGGGAGAGGGTGAAAACTTAGACAGCACCAACAGGCTCCTAGAGAGAAAAAGAGCAAGAGACTCACGTAAGCACCGTTTTTGTTTTGATTACACTTTCAGGCACTGTAAATGATCACCACTGCGAAGAGTGTCAAATTAAATGGCCATAACTCACCTGGAAGGAGTCTGACCGCCTCTCCTTGGCTTACTGAGCGTATGTCCACACGAGAGGTGTTGACAAGGAGTAAATGGCTTCAGATAATGGATCATAATATCACATAAAGAAGATGATCGTCCAAGCCAAATGTGAATCCCATATGCAGAAAAAAGAGGGTGGGGTGGGAAGCAGAGAGCGGAGGAAACAGCTAGAAGACTATAGTGAATAAAAGCAGGACATACAGTGAGATGACATCTTGTAGAAATGCTTTCACCTTCTGTAGCAATAATCTGGAATAAAAATAAAAGTAATGTGGTCCCTCTGTGACAGCTATTGACAGGTAACTTGGTTTTTAAGATGATGGCAGCCTCTCTAACTCTCTCCACTGTTCATCTAAATTTCAAGCTTGAAACAAGTCCATCTGGGTGACATTTTGGACAGTTCCCCTGTGGCAGGCAGGCTGCACCCTTGTTACATGAGGGTATAGGCCAATAAGAGTGTGATGTGGCAGTGGTCCCAGTCTGGATCAAGCCCTGCCTTGGCTGTAGGCAGTCCAACATGCTGTCCCCAAGAGCACCAACTGCTGAGCTGTGACTGGACCTGACATGGGTCATCTTCTCATCAGGACAGGATTAGCAGGGCAGGCTCTCATCACAGCTCGACACACCTGAGTCACATACTCTCTCGCCTAAGGGCACAGTGTCCAAACACCAACTTGTTCTGTTCTACAAGAATTTGATACAACAGTTAAACTTTGTTCCCTACCTGAAGAGTTAAATCTCTCTGTGTCAGCTCTCTGTTCTTTCCTTCGGTGCAGGAAAGCAAATTTCATGTTGGTCTATATTATCCGTGAGGGGCACAAAGATGTCGGCTGATAGATGGTGCATATTCAGTCTTCAGTTGGAAGATTGATTTCCAGTCTAATTTTAAGCTACATGAAAAACACTGATGGGGGTTGTAATTGACAGAGATTTATGTGAACCGGAATGCAACAGAAAAACAGGCGTCTTTGCCTCAAAAATGGTCTCAAAGTCCCATTGTTGTAATTTACAGCTGGGGTAGAATAACTTTCTCTTTTCTTGAGCAGATAAAGTAATGTCACAGCAGCTGCCAAAAACAACTGATGTGTAATGAGCGTACCAGGTCTGGTTTTGGAGTTCAGGGGGAAATGTAATTCACCGGTACAAGCGCTCAGAATCACCGGCATCAAAGAGAAACAGTACTTTTTAGAAGGCAATGAGGACACAGTGAGTGCAAACCACAGTGCAGCTAATGATCTTAACACTCACTCTCATACAAATACACACAGTTATATCCATGTTATCCCAGGAATGAGAACAACAGTCCTGGGTGGGGAGGGTTCATGCAGAAAGGAATAAAAGAGAAAAAGTGAAAAATTCTGAGAAAGAGATAGAGGGAGATAAGGAACAATGAGAGGGCTGCTAAGTGTTTCCCCATGTGCACCTGGGGCAGTGGCTGACCCTGTGAAGTGGAGTCTAAGCCTGAGCCTTCTCTCCCCCACCCCTCTTTCTGTGCCAATGCCCATAGGCATTGAGGAATTACTGGAATGAGGAAGACATGCCAAAAACAGTAGAACTCTCTTCATCTCTATAGAAGTGCCGTCACAGAGGGCCTTGAGTGTGGCCCAGACCAAGAACACTTAGCATGATGCTCCATGTTTTCTATAGGCCTCCTGGAACAGCGGTGAGGAGCCAAATGGTAGGCAGACATCAAATTTTGCCAATATACTATTTAAGAACTTGTGTCTACACTGCCTGCACGACTTCAGTTTGTTTTCTAGTTGTAAGGTTTAAGGAACAACGCATAACCCAAATGGAAACAAACGTGTCACCTATCAAACAAAATTCAAGTTTGGAACCAGCTTTCGCTCCCAAACTGACTCACAGGCTTTCATCAAAAATACTAGACAACTAAGTCTAGGTAATAATGTTTTCTGTTGTTACTGAATGTTTATTTCCATGAGAAATGTCTTGAAAAAGCCTTCTATTTTTTAGTATCAGATAAGAAAGGCTACGCTAGTGGCATGGCTCTAACGATAGCAACGTCAGCCTGTCAAACTTTTAGCCCAGACTGAAATATCTTAAGAGCTACTGGAAATTCGGTAGAGATGTTCATGGCTCCCAGAAGATGAACCTCGGTTAATCTGATGAGCCCCCGATGTTTCCTGTAGCAGCACCATGAGGTTGGCATTTTGTGACAACCGCTGAATGATAGCCATGTTTTAAAATTTATTTTCTAATAAATGTTTATGGGTCTCAGACAAATTATGACTTATCATCTAGTGCCACCACCATGTAAACATTTAAATGTGTCTGATATTTTGGTTTATGATCAAATACCTACAAACTGATCAGCCTATGCTGTGCTTTTTAAAATGATCAATGACCTTTCAATTTTGTTATCTATTTTTATAAATTACTTAGGTAAGGATATTCAAGCAAAAAGATACCTTTATGCTGATGACACTATTATTTATAGACATTCTTCCTCTGGAGCATGGGTGATCCAAGAGCTTCAGATGGCATTTGAGTCTTTATAAATGACTCTGCTAAGTTTAAAATAGGTTTTAAATGCCCAAAATCAAAGATCAAGTTCCTCTCAAAAGCACATCCACAGTTGGTTGATAACTTTAACATTCTCTCAAAATCTATTTAAAGAGTGTCCTCCTACAAGTACCTGAGGATATGCATAGATGATCAGCTTTTTTCAATGTGTATATTGCTAATCTAGTTGGGAAGGAGATATGCAGCTGTTTCTATTGAGAGTCCATTGTTTTTATCTTATGAATGGAATTTTTGTAAATTTGTGTTGCATGTGTTGAATTTTACTATGTTGTAAGTTAGTATGGCTGCAATGTTGACCAGGTCTCCCTTGAAAAAGAGATCTTGATCTCAGTGGGACATCTTGGAAAAATAAATGTTAAATAAATAAAAATAAAATGTTAACATTCTAACATGCAAATATGGTACACATTATATACCTGTTAAACATTAGCATGTTAGTATTGTAGCATATATTCTCTCTGCATTATATTGTGTTCTTGTTATATTTTTATTTGCTCCCTTCACCTGCTGCTTTAAAATGCCTTAGATTTGGGATTTTAATGCCTATTTAGATTTGTGTTATTGCTCATCTACCTTATATTTCACTTGTATTATGTGACTTTCATGTGGAGAGCAAAGTAAGAATTTCATTGTACAGGGAAACACGTTTCCTAACTGTGCATATGACAAATAAACAATTTGACCTTTGACCTTTGTTGCTGTAGGCATATTAGCATGCTGATGTTAGTATTTAGCTCAAAGCACCACTGCGCCTACATAACAGCCTCACAGGGCTGCTAGTGTGGTTTCATTTACAGTTACCTACAACTCAACTTCATTTTTGAAGGTGGAAATACAGAGAATATACATGTACTCAAAAACAATCTGAACTTAGCTTTTTAATAGCATTAAAATCAGTTGAAGGATAAAAATAAAAACATGAGACTTGCACCATGATATCAATTACTATGAGCTTTTTTCTGAGGGAAGTGCAGGGCCAAAAACTGTTGCTTTGGGGGAACAGTTCTGAGAAATACAACATGTAAACACAGGTGCTCTGTAATGTGCCTGTGAGCGTTCAGGTTCAGGATCTGTTGTCATAAGAAAAGAAAGGCACATAGCCAGTAAACAGAAACCTTTCCCACTTGTTCTCAGATATCTGTTTAGACTTCATAGATTAGCCATGACTCCATCAGACTTCCATTAACACACAAACACACTTACACATACTTGTGTGTGCACACACACTCAGATTGTCTTGACTCTAGAGACATTCCTGTATATTCGTTCTTACAGAGCAGTGGACCTGAGCGGAACAGCAGTAAAGTGGAATGAGAGGCAGATTCTTAACAACAAGGCTCCATGTTCTGCTTCTGCTGAATGGAGACAGAGTGACAACAGAAAGCTGTCAGTCCAACTGCATCTGCAAAACACTGTGTGCTAAGAGTGGACATCATCAGATTGCAGCAATTTGTTAAAGTTCTACTCTTGTATTTGGTGCAAAATTCGATTGACATGGAAAAAATGGCTTCTTGAGTGCTGGTGCTACTGGAAGAAGCCCCTGGCCTCCATTGCAGTATGAGGACTAAAGGGACTGATTTCAGTACTCTATTAAATCCAATAGAAGCAATTAATGTTTTATGCAAATGTAAATGTACATTTGACAGTCCTGCAAGTTTAGGGGTTTCTCTGGCCTGTGCTTCTTTGTTTAGATTATATTTATCACATTTTTGCCATAAAAAGTTGTAAAAATTAAAGTGGAAATATCACAGTCACTGGTCTCATTCAATCACCTGGTCATCACTGTATCCTAGATTTAACTAAAAATATATGAAAGAAAAAGGCTGGTGATATTCTTATTGTCAACAAATCCCATGAAAAGACCAACAGTGAACTGATCCTACTGAAGTATGGTGAAGTGTTCAAAGCCTGATTAATCTTACCATAATGCTGTGCCACAGAGTTCCACTGTTGTCCAAAAACTATTAAAACATACATCAGTGAGTCACACCAGTGCAGCCTGGTGCTGAAAGCTACAGAAAAGCTGAGGAAGCTGCACAGCTGTAATAACATTAAATATGAAAGCATAGTAGTTTGTCTAATCCTAAAGGAAGCTCTGTACATCATTTGGTGCAACCATGTTTCAAAGACCAATGATGAGGCTGCAGTTCAATCAATTTGCTGTTGCTGTGCTACAGAGCAGAAAATGGGATGTGTGGGTATGAGGAGACTGACAGGAGAAGACAAAGTGGTAGATGAGGTTGGGAGAAGAGTAGGGACGGTCCTTCCTCACTAATACCGTGCTCCAGAATGCAAAAATGACCAAGCATGCGCTCAGGAAACTCCCTGCCACCCCTGAGCACTCCAACGTCGCCAGTTTGGTTTTGGTGGCGGTGCAGTGAATATTTTAGTATGTGTGAAAGCAGACAGACAGGACCTGATAATGCCTGGGGTGATGTCATGCACTGTTTCTGTGATCAGTGACAAGGGGCTGATGCGGAGGGGCTGTGTGTATAATGTGTGTGTGTGTGTGTGTGTGTGTGTGTGTGTGCGCTGGTTACAGGGGGACTGCATGGCTGATTATCTAAGGTTTGACTTATCCCCTTACTAGAATTTGCAGCGGGATGTGGGGGGGCGCTGTGTGTATTGTGTGTGTGTGTGTGTGTGTGTGTGTGTGTGTGTGTGTGTGCGCTGGTTACAGGGGGACTGCATGGCTGATTATCTAAGGTTTGACTTATCCCCTTACTAGAATTTGCAGCACAGGGTCTTATTACAGTGGTGCCTCAACCTGAACAACCTGTACCTTGTTATACTCTAGTGCTGCCACATAGTCAGCCAAATACATAATGAGGGTGCGGGTCCCTGTAAATTCAGTCACTGACGAGCTCACGTCTCATAAACTCTCCCCTTACTGTACTCTGACTTCATCTATTTGAGAATAAATCCTGTAACTAAAGGCTCCGCCTCAGTAGTGATCCTAGAAAACCAAAGGGATATACAGTAACTCCAATTTCCTTTTACTTTCCACCTTAAAATGTGAGTTTAGCCCCAGTGATCAGCATACGAGGCCTTTGTGACCTGGTTACACTTCCTGTCTTTTGGATTCATTATAGCCCATCTATACCTGTGGTTTCCAGTGGCTTCTTTCTTGTGGGTAGATTTAGCGTACAGTCAACAAACAACACACATTATTAAATTCTAAGGGCTATTTTCCCTCTTGTCAACTTAGTGGGCTAGAGCTAAGTTGGGATTCACACCAACTCATGTAAACACAAGCACATCAAAAAGCTTCTGTGTCCTCAGAACTTTCCCCCCTACAGCATCAACTTCCTAGCTAAGTGAATTGTGTTAGAACAGACCATTACTGCCAAATCACTCATAAACAAGAAAACAAATTGTGCACACACCCACCTGTGGTTTCATCATGACATACAATGACAACACAGACGCTGGTTAGCTGACGTGCCATGTCCTTTAATTTAGGGATGACTTGAGTATGTGTGTGTGTTTGTGGTAAACCTCCCACTGTGCGTCTACGTTGTGGTGGTAGTTAGTGGGTCACTGTTGCTGGAGGAAAAGTCAAACACATCCCCCAGAAGAGTAGAGTAGTTGACGTTTTTCACTCCACCGGCATCAAACTTCATGTTCACATGAAACTGGAGGTGACAGGAACACACAAGTCACTAAACATCTCCAGCAACATTAAAATACTGGCACTTGCTCCATGCTGCCACTTATTATTTATTTTCTCTGTGATAGATGTCTCCTTTAAAGATAATAATAAAGTTAATAACAGTGCCTTGTTTAAAGTTTTAAAACTTGGGGATGTCTTGAACCTCCATTACACTGATTAAACCTCATACTCTGTAAACAAAACTACTTCTTTTTAATGCTAGAGGCAAAATGTAATTTAGCTCTTTCATTAAAGTAGGCTCTTTTGAACCGGTCCCAATATCGCTAAATATAATGAACAGAAAGAAGAAAAGAAGAGGGGCGTGACACCTTCAGAGATACCTTTACCTTGAAACTTTTTAAAGAGGGCAAAGTAGCTGAGCAGAGAGAAGCCGGTAAGGCAAAGAGTACACACACACACACTCACCCACCCAGAGACACACATAGTTTCAGTCCACTCTCATTCTGTCCATGCAAGCCTCCTTTTCTTGTCATGCCATGGTGGTACATCAACCCTGCTCACCTGTTTCTGCTTAGATTTGGCTGTGACAAAGCGTGCTAAATCAGCATTACATAGAAAGATACAAGTACAAGAGGGAAGACCAAAGCAGAGACTTCCTGCCTTTTTGACCACCTCTGTCTCTGTGTCTCACTCTCTCCAGTTATTTTCTGCGCACAATAAATCCTCCTATTGTCAATTGGACCACTCCTCCCTACTCATTTGATTCTGCTTTTGGCTCACTTATCCACTGAGTCATGGCAGGTAGGGGCAAAATATAGATTGATTTTCAGTTACACCTACTTAAAAATCTGTGCACAGCCCTGTGTAATCACTTACTGTGCTTTTCTGGTTCACTCTCATCTAAAATGTTCTCAAAAATTTTGTTTTGGATGTAGCCTATTACTGGAATTCTCTCTTACCTTTAAGGTGTCTTCGGGCATTACAGTGGGGGCAGGGTGCTCTACCCAGTTAATGCCAGCCAGGAAGGCATGGTAGTCAATCTCGTCCCCATCTGAAAACCTACCACAGAATGAAGTACATGCGATTTAGAAATCTCCTACAACAGCTCCCACTTGATTTATATGTATCCAGTTTAAACTTCTTTCAATCCATACTGTTTGTGTTATTCAGGCCAAACCTTGGTTCAGAGATTTTCAACAAGGCCAAACATTTGCTGGGCAAAGAACTTGGCTATACTTTGCAATCAAATAAAGTCAATAATTGAAAGTCATTCTGAACATGCAGTGGAACCTTGAACCATTCTTCCCTAAACTGCAGAGTGATTAGTGGGACCTTACTTGCTGAGCAGCCCTCTGAGCAGGTTCTCAGGCAGGGGGAGCTGGAAGGCCTTACAGATGGTCCTTGTCTCTTTGGTGGAGAGACGCCCGGTTCTGGAGACACAAAGAAAAGTAGAGGCACGGGTAACCAAAGTAAGCAGAAAAAAAGCCAAGAAGCCCATGTTGTGAAACTAGAGAGGGTGAACCCACATCAGACTACCTGCCTATTTGAGTGGATTATTTGAATAAAGTTTAAACTAAATATACATACTCCTTACAGGCTAGACTCTAGCCCAATCTGACACTAGTTCAATTTGTTTATAATGTCATAAGAACCACTGAACAGGAACTCCCCGTTAGTCAGCATTAACAAGTTGAACAAAGAGGATCACAGAAAATATCCCAGAAGTTGGATGTATGTGTGTGAGACAGAGGATCCGTATTCTACAAAACCACAGTTGTTTTCCACAGTAAAACTAAGCAGCCCAGGGGCCCATTCTTGTCACACCAGCCTCATTACAAGGTGTAGATGAATGAGCTCACATTAAATGAAAGTATCAACACAACCCTAATAAACAAATAAGTCAGCCTGACCTTGTGGTACTGTCGACCATCCATTTCAGCTAATCCAAGCCAGGTTAAAGGTCTACTACATGCATGCATGAGTGGTTGAATATAGTCGATGCATATGCATCAAAGGTGAAAAGAGGAAGGGAATGACAGACAGGAAGAACGACACAGAGACAGAGGGAGACAAAGTGTGTGTGTGCCCTCTGGTCTGCAAAGCTGCATGCCATACAGATCTTTAGGGTCCATCTGGTTCCAATGCTCCACTCACATTGTTGGAACTAATCGTTGCTCTGAGATATGAGGCCACTGGCTGCATGATTGATGTGTTGTTGTGATGCTATCTGCCTGTATATGTTTGTGTGCATTTCTGTTGCAGTTAACATCTGTGGATGTATGTGTGGTAGAGGTGGCACCTACTTGTGTTGATCGTGGTATGTGAAGGCTCTGGCCAGCTCAGGGAGCTTGTCAAAGTGCTTCTTTTTTAGGAGGTCCTGGGCCACAGCCAGCATCAAGCCCACATCCACCTCAGGCTGCTCGCACTCTGAGAAACGTCGGCACAGCACAAGCACCTCATGTTCAGACAGGCCACAATCCAGGCCCATCAGTAGGGTCCTGCAGGCACACACATACACAAGAAGAAAATAACACACATAAACTGATAGGACATAGGTTAGCCACATCTCACCCTCTTAACTTTAAAACCAATGTGTATAGAATTCCTCTTTGCTTCCATTTGTCTCTTCTCCTTGTAACATTTACATCCTTTGAACAGGACAGTATCTTCATAATGTCATTTGCATCTCAGCAAGTGACACTGCAGTGACATTTGAGTGTTTGGTCCAGGAGACTCTGATCATCCAATTCTGTCCATACAATAAAGACATGCTGGACAGATCGAACTATACTATACTTTGCTGCATTATTGTACCTGAATGACTCGTAAGGGATGAAGCCAGTGTTATGGGGGTCACTTAAAGTGAGAAACTTCTTGACCTCGCCCTGCTTCTCCTTTGGAATGGAGCGTAGTTTGCTGAGGATGGTGCCCACGTTAGCCTTGGGGAACTTTAGACAATTACACATAAACATGCAGTCTTTAATCACATGTAGCACCAAAATAATACCAAAGGATAAGATGGCTGCTTCACAGAAACACACAGCTAAAAGGTGATGGTCTGGAGGTTAGAATTGGTAAACTGTGCCTGAACCAGACTGTGTAACTATGTTACCTGTAACAACCTGCCCCAAAGGCAAACACTGAAAATCAGCTTGTGGATATGAAGCCCTTCAAAACGAAACCATATATAAACCTTAGCAAACCACAGAAAACAGATACTGCTCCTTTACTTCCCTCCCTACCTCCTCATCACGTTGCTCCATGTAGTTGAAGGTGTATTCATCAGCATCCAGAAGCTGGAAGTGCTTACTGTTGAGGCAGACAGTAGCTCCTACATACAGATCCTGAGCTGTAAAGTACTCTGACAGCTCACGCTTAAACAGCTCCTGGCCTGGCTTCTTCACACGGCCACGCTCCAGAAACCTGCCACCAATCACACCTTGTGCACAATGTGTAAGATAAGAAAGGATGAAAGAGTGGGAAATCCTTATTTAACTTTGGAAGTTTTGTTGTTTTGACTTTGAAATGTAATTTACATATACATTTAATTTCAATTCCACATACAATGCTTTGCTTTACGTCATTTCACATGGGTGAGATCCACCCATATCCACCACTGATTTTGGAGCAACGCTTATAAGTCCCTGACCTCATGACATAAAGTAAAAATATTGTCAGTTATTGATTTATTGATGGGAATGTCTCCATTACATCCTGACCATGGCTATGAACTACACATCATCCGTTTCATCTGTTTTCAAAATGCTTACCATGAGAGTCAGAGATGTGTATCCTATGTCCTAGGAGCAGTTGTGATGTAGCTATGGTCCAAATGTTTTACCTGAGTTCCTCTGTGGGCATTCAAACACACTGATGGAGTCATCGCAGAGGTAGAAAGAGATGATGAACAGCCTCTCTCTGTCAACTGGATCGGTGGTCACCATCTTAGCATGGAAGTTCAGCACATTACTCTCTAGGCCACATCTGGAGGGACATATACAGTACACACTTGAGTTGTTTGAGCTGGGGTCGACCATTAACACACCCAGACATAAATATCCCAGTGTGTAATTTCATTGTGACTGTGACTACAACCCATCCAACCTGTCTTTCTCCATAAACTTTTGGAAATCTTTTTGTGGGGGCTTGGGCAGCAGGCCTTGGCAAGAGCTTAGCGAGTCCTCCTCTGAGCCAAAGCCATTGTAGGGGGGCACAAGCCTAGGGGGCGGCGGTGCTGCCGGAGTTTTGTATTGCACTGGAGTGAAGTCCTCTGAGAGGAAGAAGGAAAAAGAAAACACAAACCACTTAAAAGAAGAAGGAAACCCAGCAGGAGTGCTGAGATGATCAGAGGGCAGCCAGTAATGGATCCATGTATGATGTAAGAGCACAACAGCCTGGATCTGACTGTAACCCTGAACTGACCTCTGCCTACTCAGAGTCAGACAGGGCCCTCCATCACAGTGACCTGTCATTAGGGGCCACGCCTGGTTCACTACTGTGACTAATGCAGCAAGCTCCCAAAACTTGTCCAGGGTGTCAGACATATCAAGGACCAGCTTGGGTTCCTCCTGCTGAGAGCAAAGCTGAACTTTGTTATTGGTTCAAATAACCATCAACCATGGAGGGAATAGGAGAACCAGAACATTAGACAGGCCACTGAGAGAATGCAGCTCATTTTTCAAAGAAATACAAATTCCTATTCAGACTATTTCTGTGGTACTACCAGAAGATGAAATAAATACATTTCGTCTTCTGGTGACATTCTTCTCAGATTTGTGGTGGTGCTTGCTGTTACTGCCCCCATGTGTTCACATTAATGCAGCGCATACATAAGCAGCAGAGTTAAAGACCCATACAAATAAGTTAAGTATGTAAAGAGTGAAGCTGGCAGCCACTGCAAAAGAAAAGGCAGGGTACACCCTGGACAGGTCGCCAATCCATCGCAGGGCTAACACATAGATGAACAACCACACACGCACACACGCACTCCTATGGGCAATTTAGAAATCACTTTAATGTAAATAAATATATATGTTTTGACTAATAATTTAGTCTACAAAACATAAAAAATATGCTTTTGAGCTGATGTTTTAAGGCCGCCTGTTTTGTCTGAAGAAACGGTATATACATTATATACTGAAAAAAAAAAAAAAACAAACAGCCCACAACAACGACATAATAGTACTGGTTACCTATGCCATATTTGGAGCGGTAGTAGTCTTTGGTGAAGTCATCACAGTCAGTGAGGATCACTGTCCTGCCCCACACGTTCACTTCTCCTCCTATCGTCAGATCACAGTCCTTATAAAAGTCCTCATGGACAGCTCCTGTCTGCAAGAGGGAGAAGCCTGCCACTCAGTCAAAATGTTCAAGAACATGGACAAACACCCTTTACATGCATTTGTGAGTGTTGCACTTCTCATTCCAGAACTGTCTGTGTTAATATGTTGATATGTCATCCTCCACTCCTCTAAAAGACTTCTGGGTTATATAACAGTCACCCTCAAATACCCTCTGTCCCCTCAAATAACAAATGAAATCATAATTCACTTGTTGTCACAGGACATACTCTGAGGCTGTCCAGTATGCAGCGTTTTCCTCTGATTGGCAGAGGTAAACACATTGAGCACTGTGCGGTCTGTGATCTCTCCAGGCTTCTTCATTTGGGCTGGAACATGCTGTAGAAAAATACACAACAAAGGGCCACATAACATCACACAAGATCTTTACCAAAGTGAGTGCCATTCTGGATTCAAATAAGGGATTGTACACCTGCAGTGAGAAATAGAGTCCACAAAATAGACAGAGAAAATGTGTTAGAGAGAATGAGAGATGGAGACAGGATAAAAGAAAAGAGGGAAAGAAGTCATCTGTCATTGATGATGCAGCAATTTCTCATTGGATGGTGGAGTCCAGTCAACCTTTTGGGTTGACATTTAATAAAAGGCAGCAGAACAAACTAAATTACTAAACTGACCCCCTACCCACACACACGCACGTACGCACACACATGACTGAAGCCTTGCTGTCTTTCAGGATGAATCAAGCCTTACACAGTAACTGGAGGAGAAAGAAGAAGAAGAAGCTTTAGTTTATTGTCATTGTAACACGTACAACGAAATTTTGTTCAAAGCCGAGGGCCCCGGGCCGCTGCGTGCATACACGCCGCCATCAGAAAGCCAAAGTGCTTGAGGAAGACTGGATGCTACAGCAATCCTGCTGTTTGCATGAAGTCTTGGTGAAGGGAGGGATGGTGGGAGAAAGATGAAAATAAGTCACTCAGTCAGAAAGAGAACCACTGCATTTGGGTTAGGAATAACCATCTATAATTGTAATATGTGCTAATGGTCAAAATGTGCTAACATAAAAGCACCCTTGAGAGTTTATCAAATGTTCGTTCTTAACCTTTTTTGAATGCTGCTCTCTATATTCTAAACTATTCCGAAATTTCCATAATCTGTAGAATTTGGTTTTTCCTTCCTCTCCTTAACAACAAATATTCAGTAGTTCTCTACACTCTCATGACTGAGAGACTCTGACACACTTTCTAAACAGCTCCTCACCTTAGGCAGTTTGCTGCGGTGTAGAAATTTGGATACATGATCTCTGCCAGAGTTTGGGGAGATAATCTCTTGGATCTCTATGGTGTCATCAGCCAGGAAGTAGTGCAAAATGAGCTCCCGTAGGTCCCCAAACATGCTTCCCGTGTTGTCCCAGAAGCAGTAGAAGCGCAGGACTTGGCGGTCATGCTCCAGGAACTGCTTCAGTGTGTCATGCCTCTCATATGGGTGAAGTGGCTTCATATTTTTTTTAATCTGGACAAGGGACCATGTGACATGAAGAGGAATCAATACATATTATCATACATGTATAGGAGACAAGAATTTTTTGTTCTGGCAGGAATCAGCGTTTTCTTAACTGACCATCAATAGCATTCTCTTCTGTCATGGGCAGCAGTGTTGAAACAATTAGCTGATTTAATGGTTACTTAATTTAAAATAATAACAATATAAACAAACAAAAACACAACAATTATAATGAATAAACCCCCCCCCTCTCCCTAAAACAAAAAAAAAACATATATTTGCTGGGTCAAGTGCCTCTAATGAGAGGATAGCGCTGAAAACTAAATACTCCTGGATTTTCTCAAACAAAAAAGGACAGCTTTGAAATATCAGATTGAAGAGCATATTATTATTATTATTGATGTGAAACTAAATAATTGATCAACTATTTGGAAAAAAAGCCATTAATTAACAGTGAAAATATTTGTTAGTTGTATTCCTCACCAGAAAAAACATGAAACCGCTCAAACAAATCTGAATTCTGTAAAAAAAACGTTCTGGCTGATGTTCACCTGGTTCCGGAGGCTGCTGTAGGGGTCATCAGGTACAGCAGCAGGGTCATTCAGGAGCACCCCAAGTTTTGTGAGAAAGTTCCTTGTAAAAGTGTCACAATTGGTCACAGTGAATGTGCGAGAATACAGCACCATCTGTTGGTTGATGTTGAAATGGAAAATGTTGTAGAACTGGTCATTGTTTGGGGGAGGCAGTGGGATGCGGTGGCGATGGATCAACGTTCCTGTCACAGGGAACAGCAACACAGCAAGCAACACAGGTAAGTGACAAGTATTAAACTGTTCATCATATTTCAATGAAATATACTGTTTATTTACTTTGGGTAGTGGATCATTTAGCCAAATGCAGAAAGTAAGTACACAAAAACATTCACAAGACATTTCCTGTGTCACCACAAACAGAAAAAACATCCCTTTTCACCTTGAAGGATGCCACTGTTCTTATACTCTGGCTCCACCACCTGCATGGTATCATCCTCCAGGTAGAAGTAGATTTTACATTTTCTGATTCTGTACGCCTCATCCTGCACCTCAGGCACAGCTTCCTGAAAATATGCTTCAAAACACAACACCTGAGGGACAAAGTGTCATTTTGTGAACAAGAATAATCACATTAAGACTTTTAATTACATGATATAAATGCCTACATTCAGCTGAATGTTGGCTTGTCAAGATTTCTTTTATGACTTAACATTGATAAGCAGATGTTAGTGCAAGGGCAAGGTTGGTAAAATGCTTAAACTTATCAGTAACATATATAAATCTGTGTCATGCAGTACTTAGTGACATAAAAAATAATAAAGTACATTAGCTATACTGCAAGTGACCATGTAATGTACAAGCATTTAGAGGCACTGCCAAATATTAGCTGCACATGTCAGTCCATTTTATCTAACTACTCTATACAACTGTTATGGACAAAAAAAATGTGTGTTCATAACCACTGAGAGAAAACCCATTCATTTCAAGACATTTCACCTGTTTGTCAAAGGTGACCCATGATGGTAAAGCCCTGCCTTGTCCTTTTGGGTAGACAGAGTACTTGTGTTTAATCTTCTGGCCAAATAAAGGCTCTCCTCCAATGCCTGGCTTCTCCGATCCCACCAGCAATGGAATGCCATTGGAATAGTCAAAATGCTGGGATTTGTGGAATCTCTCCTTCCCCAGCTGTAGTATAGTAAAGAAAGGACAAAGCATCTCTGAAAACATACTGTAATATGGGGTTTCTTTGGTATAGCAATATACACTATATTAACTAATTATTTCTAATTAGCTGATGATTTATGAGCATGATGTAACACACTTCACCTGAGTCAAAGTGCATTAAATTAAGCAGTAATTTAATACTAATGATTGACTCTGATGGTGATTTTGCTTGTAGCTTATTGTTCATTTCCAATATTAATTTTGTGGAAAACGCCAGCCAGTTCCCCATCTGCTCTTCAGGTTAGCTAGCTGGAGCTCATACTAAAGTCTACAGTAGTGTCAGCTCTGAACAAAACTACTGTAGTTTATGTTAAAAGTCTTTACCACTACTGTTCATATTACAGCGGAAA